CATTCCTGTTTCCCTTAATGACTTAAGAGGTACAGGATGCCTTGTCTAAAAGGATACGGTGAGCAAAAGAAAATGGTATTTTCTACAACATTGTGACAGAGCTTTTCACCCTCAATAGCCGAACTCAACAGCCCTTCTGAACTCTAATGAAGTAGGTTTCAACTTGGGCAGGTATAATTTCTAGTTGAGAGAAGAGCAAGCAAGGCACAGTCAAAAGCTTATGCTTTTGCATAAGATTATGCATTTTTCCCCTAAGTCTTTATCTTTGTCAAAGTTTCTGGATGCTCTAGCGTTATCAGTGAGGCAACAGAGACAGGTCAGAACCTTATTTCAGAGCAAATAAACACTACGGAATCATGTCAAGGGCGTGGTTGTAAGAGCAAAGAAATCAAGTGCATTTAAGCACATGGTAGTTTATAGTTTTAAAAAGTTTAGTACAGGAATAATTAATAATTTCTCTCCTCAGAGCAATTCGCCTACAATTCTTATCACTACCCTACAGATAAGGTATCAAGACCATTATGAATGGCTGGCTGTCCTTTTAAATGTCAGTGCGTGCATGTGAGAACAGTTGCATTTCAATTAGCTGAAAAAGGGAAAATTAAAAGTAAAAATTCCTGCAAAAACACACTAAATCATCAAAAGTAACTCATATAAAGTAAAATTCACCAACTTTCTTCTTTTGGTACACAAAATATATGTACTCATTTCCTGAATGTTACCTAAAAGCGCAAGAATATTTCCAGCGCAGGGAAAGTATGTACATGGGCAGCAAAAGGAGCGGGGCAGAACTGGGAGGGTGGTATGAAGGGGACAGACTCACTGCAGCAGGGACTCGGCCTCACCCCTGCGCTGCATCCACACCACCGCAACTGCCTCCAGCCCTGAGAGACTACAATAAAGCTTGCACAGAGAGTCCTTCTCATATTTACTTTGACAGATGCAATCTGAATTACAGTTGATGCTTGGGGTTTTTTTAATTACGCGATGCTTGATCCAAGGTACATCTTTGTAAAACTTATTCTCCTGGAAACATAAACCATAAGGATAAAGACACATGCAAAGGTGGCTTTGCTCCAGAGCTTTAGGGCAATTCAGCGTTAAACAGAGCTGCCAGTTGTACCTTTGTGGGAACGGTACCAGAAGGATCAGCATTTGCAGGTGGAAAGTTTCTCTTGGTTGTTTGTCTCCCAGTACCTTCTGCCTTTTCAGAAGCAATGTAGCTCAGGTTTCTAGTATTCAGCCTCCCCTACACTTTAGTTCACTGTACAACGTTCCTTTTCTCTTGCAAGTGTTAGCTGGTGAAAGAAATCAATGAATGGTTGAGTTCTGTTCCCAGCAAACCACAGCCATGAGAGAGAAAAAGACTGAACAGCAGCATGAGACTGCCTTACAGCTCCTGTCAAAAAAACTATTTCATACAAATGAGCTGTCCCGCCAGTCCTGAATTTTCACAGCTTTTCAGTGTTTATTTCTGACAGATACAAGCAAGGTGCCAGAATTTACAGATAGTTGTTTTGCAACCAAGTTTTGACTTTCTCCAGATTTCTATCCATCCATTGTATATTGTCTTCAATGGTTTCAATAGCTTGCTGGACACAGTGAAGCCGTGTGCTTTTTTCCTCCAGAGAACTGAAGAATTCTTTCACCTGTTGACAAAGTTGTGAAAGAACAGTTGACAAAGATGCAGCAAGGGCCCTTAGGTGCACAGGAAGACCAGCAAGACATCTGTGATACTCCAACCTGGCCTTGGGTCTTCCACCCCCTTTCCCTCCCACCCCCCACCCCAAGAACAGTTTTTTTAAAAGGTTTCATAGTGCCTGGATCTCACAAGCCAAGGGAGATCACATTTCAAATTAGATTATATAAAAACGCAGTTGAAGGAGCTGTCATGTTGTGTGGGGGACCCATCCGGCCCCTGCTCATTCAACAAACCCTTGCGGCTGTTTAAGCCACGGCACCCACAGGCACGATGGCAGCGTTTCAAAGTGGACGTCACCAGGGAGACTCAGCACCCCCTGCTCTTCCCGACGGCAGCTCTGCTGCGTAACACACCTGCACCTGAATTTCAGTCACCGTCCCAGACTGTCAGCTGAAGAAGGTGGTCCTGATGCTACT